AAATTATTATAAAAGTATGAACATTAAAACGAGACTTCCAACCATCACACCAAACTCCTTAATGAGGCAAGGAAAAAATAGCACAGAAAAAAAAAAGAGAGGACCACGCTATTAATGAGTCCAGGAAAATAGTAGACTTTTTCACATGCCAGAATGATCAAAGCAGACCCATTTTTCTGCCAACTCACTGCAATTACTGAGACTTTAATCTTTTTCTTACCAATTTTTTTTAAGCTCATCTTTAGTAGAGTTAAGCTGTTAAATGACTCTGTATTCTATATTTTATCTGTTAGTCTTTTTTTAGAATAATTTAAAAAATATATATTTAATTCATCTAAGTCACACATAAATAATTAATGTTCCAACAACATCATACTTAATTAAAGTTTTCAATAACAATACATATAAGCATCTAATTGGAATAAAATACGTAGTCTATAAAACATTATGCATTTTAAATCATCTCTACATCTTAATAAAGAATAAAAATAAACATCTCGCTTCCAATTTATGTACAAATCAATTTTAGCTTGTAAAAAAATCATAAATATCTATAATTACACAATCAGATTTTATATAATATGTCAGAAGTAGAATGTATGAATTTACGTAAGATTTAGTTTTACATATATGAAATAGTTCTAAATAAAATGTGGAGAAAATGTAAAGTGACCGTTGTATACAGTTTTCAGCAGTTAAATTTTCAAATTGTGTAATGAATAAATCAATTTTAGCTTGTTAAAAAATTATAATTATTTATAAAATATTTAATGAAAGTATATAAATAAAATAAAAAAAATTTGTGAATTTAAAAAAAGAAAAAGCACCTCCTTTTACGAGGAAAGTGATAGAATTAATTGAATGAAAGTGATATGTTAACAATTTTTTTTAATAATTTTTTGACAATAAACTATGTGTTAGCATTTTATTGGTTCGTATATTTAAAATGTATTAATTACAAGTTATCGTAGATATCGTAAAAAAAAATTGTAAAAAAACATTTTCTTTAATTGAAGGATAGAAAGACAAAGGCCTTTCGAAAACCAGTATCCTTTGACACAACAGAGACAACGTTAACTACTTAGGAAAACAGGAAATCAAATTAAATTTTAAAAATATTAGATGTATTTTAGTTTCTCTTTTGTTATGTAAAATTATATTGTCAAATATATTTTTTTAAAATGTATGTTAAATTCAAATTGAATAACGGAAAACCTTATGAAGTCGTGACTTTGGTTCATGTTTCACGTAAAAGACAGATATATTTTTGTTAGTTTAATAGAAATAATAATTTTTTTATATTTTATATTATTTGTTATGTAAATTAATTTTTTTATGTAGTTATTCTTTGGATATTGGACAAGTTTGTTAAAAAAAAAACGTTTTTTTAACAATTCTTTTATAACCGTTTACATAGTAATAATTTATGTAGCATCGTACTTGTCAGAAGGCTGTCAGAAGATTGGCTGTAGACAGCTTCGCGGTAACGACCCACCACCTACCACCCTCAATCTTCGCCAACAAAAGTTCTTTACATTCGCAAGCTAGCAAGCTATTTCGACACCAATTAATTTATTATTTATTTGTTATTATATTAACATACTTTAAATTTAATAAAAATATAATACATATATTATGTCAAAATATTGAAAAAAAACATTAATATTTGATTTTCTTATCCAATACAATGAAACCGTCCAAAAATACTCAGTTGATCACACTCTGAAAGAAAAGCTGCTTTGTAAGCTTCAAATCCTCATTCTTGGTTCCATATGTTACTCCTGAATCAGAATGACTGCAATTTTCTGTTTGCTTGGTCTCTGTGCCACCATAATCATATCGCATGCAAGCGCTCAGACACCATTCTGTGATAACAGCAAAGGCAACTACACAGTCAACAGCGCTTATCACAACAACCTCAACACCCTCCTATCCAGTTTCTCTACCCGGGCCCAAGTGAACTACGGTTTCTACAGTTCCTCTCATGGCCAAGGCCTAGACAAAGCACACGCCATTGGGATCTGCAGTGGTTACCTTACACCGGAAGAATGCCTCAAATGCCTCAACGAAAACGGAGCGGCTCTCACAAAAAACTGTCCAAACCAAAAAGAGGCAATTGTGTGGGATGGTGAATGCTCCTTGCGTTACTCTAACCGCTCCATGCATGGCCTCATGGAGAATCAACCTACGGTGCTACTCTATTACACGCTGGAAGTAAAGGGTTCGATTGAGCAATTCAACGTAGCGCTGCAGAGCTTGATGAGGAATCTAACACGCATAGCTGCGTCTGGTGACTCTCGTCATAAGTATGCTACAGGCAGTGCACCTGCTCCATATTTTCAAACCATATACGGTTACACGCAGTGCTCGCCTGATTTGTCTTCCGAGGATTGCTCTAAGTGTTTGGAAGAATCTATCTCAAAAATCCCAGATTGCTGTAAGGGCAAGGCTGGAGGCAATGTTTTGAAGCCCAGTTGTAGAATTAGATTTGACCCTTATATCTACGATGGACCTAGCCCTTATAGTTCTTATCCAGGTACTACTCCTTATACTATCTTAATTAATTCAATTGCTCCTGCTGAACTAAATTGATCCATGTACATTTTTTACTTGTCTTACAGAATTTAAACATTTTCTTCTTCCACTTCTAGTGTAGTAGTTTGCTAAAATATGGTTTTCTCGTTGTTTTAACATCTAGACAGAGTTGGTAAAAAACGTGTATAATCGGAAAATATAAAAAGAAAATTGGGATAGTTTATCCCGAAAATTACAGAAGTGAGACTGTTGATTAAAATTTACACTTCAATAATAAATATTTATGAATAGAGTTAGTTAGGGTTGTTAGATTTGTTAAAATTACTAGATTTGTTAGAATTATTACTTAGAAGTAGTAATCAGCTAAGAAATTAGGGTTTTTCAAGTTTTTTCCCTTTTCCTTTGCCTATTTAAGGTTAGGGTTTTCTTTTCTTCTATGTAACTAAGAATAATCATACAAAATACACAACAATAGAAGGCAAGTTCTCGTTTCTCACCTCTTTTCGTCTTTCTCTTGGATCTCCTGCTTTCCCTCCTTTCGGCAGCCAGCCATGGGAGAGCTTTCTCCCTTTTTAGCGGGTTCTTGGATACCAGTTCTAATAATGAATCCTAAAGACTTTTCAATTGAAGTGACCATGAGTTCTGGCAATTTTTTTATAAAATTCTGAAAAGTCAAAGTTTTTATGAGCTATGAAGACTTCTTTATAAAATTTTTGAACAAAATTAGTTAAAAACGAAGATTTTTTAATTTATAGGATGTCGTTCCTAGTGATGATGACTTTCAAATGAACCAAATCATTCTCATGACGACTTCGATTGGAATGAATTTTTTTATGTAATTGGAATGAAAGATTGGAAGACTTAAGTTTATGGAAGAGATTTGTTGAATAAATTTAAATTAGGAAAATTTATTTGTAATTTGGTTTGACTTTTATTTTATTTGGTTTCTGTTGCTGTTTTCAAACTCATTGTTGCGGTTTCTGTTTTTCGTTTTGCTGTTGCCGCATTTGTTTAATATCCGGCCAGGTTTTATTTCGTATCAGTTGTTATTTTACCTGTACTCGGCCCAGACGCGCATGCTTATTTAAAGGCTTGCGCGATGATTCAATGATATACGTAGTGAAATTACACCGAATTAATTGCAATACAGTGAGGTGTGTGTCGTATTTTTATACAGCTTTCGCCAAGGCTACTTTACTTTCACTTTACTTTCACTTTCGTCTTCTGATAACAAATTTTATATCTCAAGTTACTCCACAAAACTTCCACTACTTCTGTGATCAAGATAACGATACAGGAGTCTATACAGCCAACAGCACCTACCACACCAACCTCGACACCCTTTTGTCCACTCTCGTTTCCAATACAGAAATCCATTACGGTTTCTACAATTTCACAAACGGCGAAAACACTTTTAAAGTGTACGCCATTGGGTTGTGTAGAGGAGATGTTGAGCCAGAGAACTGCCGCACATGCCTCAACGGTTCCAGGACCAATCTCACTGAACTTTGTCCAAACCGAAAGGAAGCAATTGGTTGGTACGAGGATGAGAAGTGTATGTTGCGCTACTCAGACCGCAATATATTCGGACTTAAGGAAACTGGACCTGCTTTTTATGCTAACGACGACAGAAATGCATCGGATTTGGATGAGTTCATTAAAGATGTCAACACCTTGCTACGTAACCTAAGCAGCATAGCTGCATTAGGTGACTCTCGTGTTAAGTATGCTGCAGCTGGTACATCATCAGATTCTAAGGTCATATATGGTCTAGTTCAGTGCACACCGGACTTGGGAAACTCAGAGTGCGCTGATTGCTTGTCTCAGTCCATTGAACTTCTCCCGATAGATTGTTCTGAAGGCAAGATAAGTGGTAGGGTTGTTAGACCAAGTTGTAATATTAGGTTCCCGATAGATTGTTCTGAAGGCAAGATAAGTGGTAGGGTTGTTAGACCAAGTTGTAATATTAGGTTCGAAACCGAGAAGTTCTATGGAGATCCAGCATTTGTACCACCATCTCCTCCTCCTTCCACCACGGGTACTACTTCTTATACTATCTTAATTAATTCTATTGCTCTTTCTGAACTAAACTCATGCATGTACAGTTTTTACCTGTGTTACAGAATTTATTTAAACATTTTCTTCTTCCACCTCTAGTGTAGTAAGCTTTTAGGTAATAAGCTCAGCATATTATGTAGATAATTGTGAGGTTTTGTTTTACCTATTCATATGACAGAAAAAAGTAAATGGCACTGCTAAAAAGCGGGGGAAAATCTCAACGAAAATAATACTTAGTCATCTCCATCACAGCACTTTACAGTTATTATGGGTAATTACTGTTTTTCAAAAAGTTCTATTCTTGTAACTGTTTAAGGGGTCACCGAGTCAATTATGATGGAAGAACCCAAAACAAAGGACTCACAAAAAAGTGTAATAAAACCCCAAAATAATTTCTACCACTGCATATTCTCTTAGGTAGCCAAAAAACTGATAAATACGTAGTAAGAGAGTGAAAACAATGGACAGCCAAATCCTAATAGGCAACTAGTACTAGTGAGAGATAAAAGAAATATTGATACCAGTGGTGGTAGAGAGATCCGTCGTTGTGTGAGACACTGACAATATACCCTTATGTGTCTTTATTTATTATTATTTTAAGTGTTTTTAGATCTAAAATTATGATATTACTGATTGTAAATATTGTGTGTAAATGAGTTAAATTATCTAGGTTTAATGTCTCAATAGGTCCCTATTTTTACTCAGAATTTCAAATAGGTCCTTTTCTTTTTCGGCATCTCAACTGAGTCCTTATTTTTGTAAAATTGAATCAAATAGGATCTTTCTGTCAAATTGAAATGACGCCGTTAAGACATTTCACTGCAGTGGAGGTTCAACGGCGTCATTTCAATTTGACGGAAAGGTACTGTTTGATTCAATTTTACAAAAATAAGAACTCAATTGAGATGCCGAAAAAGAAAGGGACCTATTTAAAATTCTGGGTGAAAATAGGAATCTATTGAGACATTAAACCAATTATCTAAAGTGTTCTATTATATATAAGAAATTAAGTATAATACAATGCAATAAGAAAAGAAATTGAGAAAAGTAAAAAAATATCAGTAACATGTTTAAAAATTAGATACCATTTTAGTAATGGGTCGAGGTCAATGGTCTTCAACTTCAAACAACTTCCAAAACAGTCTGGCAATCCAAGTCTTTATTTCAATATTTAGTGATATAACGACAAAAGGTATTTTGATATTTAAGTCACTAAATGATTATTTAGTGATTAAAGTCAATTCTCAACGGTGAAATAAACGTGATTGCTTATCTTTTTATCATAAACTTATATTTATAAATTTTAGAATGGATTTTTAATTAAAATCAACCTAATCATGTAAGAATTGATAAACATACTTACCTTTAAATAGACTTAATTTATAAACTTGATCAATCATTAAGTGAATTACCGATCGATTAGTAACTTTCTACTAAGGAGTGTCCGATTTTTGAGAACTAACTAAGGGTACGAGGACTCATCAGAAAGTCATAAATATCATTCTGTGTGCTATAAAGAAACTATAAATGTTACGTGTGTATTTAATGAAACCAACCATCTTTATAAGAAACAATAAATGTTTCCAGATTTCGTAATATTTAAAAATTGAGTTTTTCTTTAGGAATTAGGATCTATGAAGTAACAAGTTTTAACAAACCGTGTTGAGATGGCCTTAATAATTAGTTATTGGATTTGTTGATGTTTTATGTATGGTATTTATCTGCGCAATGTCCCTCTGAGGATTCTGATTTGTGCAGGAAAGTACGCAATTATCATAGCAGTGTCAGTTGTTGTACTTGTTTCCGCGGTGCTTACTAGAGGTGTCATTTCAACCCCTGGCCCATGGGTTGACCCTAACCCCTTCTAAAATTAAGCCCCAATTTTCTAGCCCCCTTAATAGGGGGCTTTTTAAAAGCCCCAACCCCTAAAGCCCCATATAAAGTGGGCTGGGGTAGGGTTAGGATGGGGCTAGCCCCCAAACTAAATTAATTCACTTTTAATGTTTTTTTAGTTATTTCTTTTATTTACTTTACAAGTTCAATAATTTTCAAAATTTACATGATATTTAATATCTTTTTAATTAAATATAAATGTATAAATATTGATTTTATAAAAACTTATTTAAAATAATTTTTTAATTATAAGTATATTTTAAATATATAATTTTATTATTTTGGAAAGTTAAAAAAGAAAATTATTATTATTATTTTTATTTAAAAGAAAATAAA